CTTTTTGCGGACACCATGAAGCCCAAAGATTAGGACTTTTCCGAAGAGTTCCATCTCCACTACAAACAACATCACATAAAACCCGGTCGAAAATCATAAACTTCGTCAACTCCTAAATAAGCATCCATCCACTAATCACTGCGTATTTAGAGTTTATAAAACCACTCTTTTAAACTAATCTAAAAATTGATGACAACAGTTAAGGTGGAAACTTTATCAGTGAAGAAGTTAGGTAAACAGGCAGCATCTTCGTTAATGACGATACAGTTAGATGTTGGCATCCTTCTCAAGGCCTGGCGCACTAGAAGATAACACCTCGAATTGTCCGCATCATTAGCAACTACTATGCCATCTAAACTGGAAGAAACTCGATGAGGACAAAAAAAAGAACTGAATTAACGTAACTTCATAGTCTGAATTCTACCTTAACTTTCAGGTGAGCCTACGAATACTTCAAATAACTATCAAAGAAAGAAGGAAATGTCACTTTAACAAAAAAAGTTTTCATCAAACATTACCAGGAATGCCGCCATTTTCATGCATTTTCTCAATAATTTGTACAGTCTTACTGCCAGGTGCTGCACAAACATCAAGGACCCTGTGATGAGCTTGCACATCAAGAAGTAATGGTGGAATCATACTTACTGTTTCTTGTCGACTGATATTGCCCTGTCAATTGGTCTAGTAAACGAAAATCGAAAAAGGAAAAAGAATAAGCTTGAAAACCATGATTAGGAATTACTGACAATTTCGGCTTCAGTGACAAGAAAATTATGGAAATTTTTGAGGCTAGGACAGCTGCGCACAGATGAACGAGACATTCCCATTTGAAATGCAAACGGATACCAAGGAAGCTGTTTAGGAAGGTGAACATTTGAATCCCCACTATCCACCAGTAAAGCTAAGTACCTTTTGTTCATAATATCAATTAAAGTCTTTGCATCCCTAAAACGAAAAACCTTAGTTTGCAAAAGCTCGAACGCAAAAGACGTATACAAAGAAATGTAAATAACCCTAACTCAAATTCATGGCAAAAAAATCTTACTTGTCAGATCCGCGTACTCGAAATGCTATGGGAAGGTCAGAACCGAGAGACGTCAAAAAAGCATCCCATTCCTCACTCTTTACGATGCCCTGATGTTTGTAGTACTCAGAAAACCGTTCACTAAATTTTTGTATCTCTCTAAGAACGTAATTTTGCCTTACACCCTGAAAAAAACTAGCCTTCAGCTTATACCTCAAGAGTAATTTTACTAGCAACTAAAAAATTTTTTTGTGTGTAGCTTTTAAATGCGAATACTAAATGTGACACACTTCCTGTATCGCCTGAAAACGGCTTTATCAGATTTGTTTCACCCGTAACGTATCGCTGAGCAACTCTTTCTAAAAGGTTATTTACAAAGAGGAATATCTTCTGTTGTAAAAAATACCTTCTTTTGAAAGTCAGGGTCTTTTTTTCTTTGTTTATGTCGAATACCCTGCTGAGGCATTTTGGAGACTGCAAAGGCAACGTTTCGGTTGACAATGAAAGATAAAAACCAAACAGGGAGACTACTTAAAGCTCAAAAAAGTGAAAAAAATGGCTGCTCTTGTTCCGCCAAAATCCCGAAAATAAAGTAAAAATGACAGACGACCCTTCTCCTCAACTGTCGCTAAAAGGAAGTCCTTTTTAAAAAATCGGTGTAGCACTATAAGCCATCATTGTACAAATCAGCAGCGGCATTTGCTACTTTAGCGCTGTTATGAATTGTTTCACTGCTCAAATTTGGCGCATTGAACTGAATGCGGGAAATTTTTGAAGTTTGAAATAGCCGTAACATTTGGCTAGCTGATGTTTAGACTCTCAGTCGTTGTCGATTTGTGTCTTACGTTTTGGACAACCGGCTTTTTTAATCTTCTCATTTCAGCAGCCTTGAGCCGGTAATTTATCTAATTTTTTTAATGTGTTTATATGTATATACCTTTCGTAAGCCTTCCCTGTGACAGTGAGTGGGGCTATCGCTAAATGCGTTGCTGTCATGTACAAATGATTTAAGAGTCAAACATGTTTTCCTCCATCCATTTAACTTTTTTTTTGTATAGTGCCATAAATGAAGTATACAAAATAAAAAAAATTTAAAATTCTTTTAAACGAATCTTTTTAGTTCTGCTTTAGTTGGCTAATTGTACAACCAGTCAGGTAAACAGTCAAGAACGGAAGAAAAAGTATGGAAAGTAAGTCAACAGATGGGGCTTCACCAAGCATTTTGGACGTTGCTATGAGTAAGTTTCTGCCTAATTAATTGTTAGTCTGCTACGGAATCTTTAAGGTCTGGTAAACGCTTATTGTCATTATGGTTCACTTGTAGTGCCTATACTTTATTTTGCTATATCTATCGTTTATGCTAATTTTTCATCAAGCATGTTTTCTTGTAATTTAAGGTTTATCTCATTTTTTCAACTAAAGAATTGTCTTCACTGTTGACATTCACAATTGTTTTTGAAAGTACAACAGCTCTGACACCAAAATTCTATACATTTAACAATTTTGTTGTTGCCAAATCATAGATTCAATTTTGAGAGAAATTGCTGTTCATTTTTAATTAATCGAAGAAGATTAAAAGACAACAATTTTGACCTCGGTTTTTATATTTTCCGTTTTTGTAATTTATTAAGCTTTTTATTAAGAGTTTTAATTCTTAATTTGAGAAGGAAATTTTATGGCAGTCTGTCAGTCATAGATATTGTAAAAAAAACTATTGAAAACGACAAATTTTTGATTTTGCATAACTGGTGAAAATGTGTCTGCAAAATTTACATGTGCCAGTAAAACAGTATTGGAAAAGGACTATTTTTTTCCTTATAAACAATCGTTTTCAGAAATTTATTCTGCTGAAAGGGTTTTATGGTTCACTGAGTAGTTGATCAGTTGTTGCGAGCATTACGAAGGAACGGTGGGTGAGAGAACCGTAATTTGTTCTTACTTAGTTTTCCCTGAGTTTCTAGAAAATGTGGTCTTGGGTTATAACGATATGTGGCACAGTCCTCTTCAAGCAGTTGCTGTCATGAAATTGATAACAAAATATCTGTGCCAGATATTTCTTTGGTTATTATGATTGATGCATGCCTTAAAGGACTAATCAATGAATAAAGTAACAAAAACAAGAAAGGCAACCGAAGTAGGATGAAGGATTTTGAAATTTTTTCCTAGAGGAAAATTCTTCCCAAAAATTGGAAGTTTTTGGAAAAAAGTTGAAAAACTTTTTGGCTTTCAGAATTCTTCCACATTTTTTGACAAACTTACCGCTCATTTCTACTTCTTCTCATTAAGTTTACTTAAGTCAGCTTTGTCAGTTTCTAGTTATTAGTTTATGGCGCTCGCTTCTCACAGCCTCATTGCCAGGCTTTCTTGTAATGGTATACTTTGAGGGGAGTTTTCCACCGAAAAGTCAAAAGTGTGTACCTCAGAAGAAAAGTACATCTTTTACGGTGCTAACACAGCTAGCACTTTAAGCTTGCCGAGACTAGTTTTTCCAAACTTTTTACATATTGAACAGACTAGTGGCTAAATGACCTGTTTATTCTTTTCACTTAGAATGGCTTTACTTTTGTAAAAGATTTTTTCGAACATTTCTCATGTAAGGTTCCTTGTGTAACTTTTATGTCCTCTCATCATCTTGTGATTTGATACAATTTTGATGTCACCAAAATGTCGAAGAAATTTGAGAAGGAAAAAAATTAATGAGAAGTCAAGGCGAAGTGTAATACAGCACTGAATTTATTGAAATCGCAGTATTGCGGATAGAAAGATGCGTTGCTGCGAGAACTTTATCGGCGCATGTCAAACAAACTAATCTCATTTTCTTCTGCAACCTAATAAATTCGTTATTTTGGAATCATTTTATCAGAGAAAAGTTCAAGGTTTTTAACAGATAAGTTTCAAGTTGAAATATCTGCCTTATTTCATAAGTTTAATGGGTTTCGTACCTTTTTTCTCATTCTTAATCAGTCATTTTTACGAGGAAACAGTACTATATTGTCACAAAGTTTTTAAAATAAGGAAGTATTTGGATAGTGTAGAAACAGAGTGGAAGAAAGGAGGGAGAGAAGTATGAAATACAGATGGAACTTGAACAATTTTTTTTTTTTTTTGCGGAACACCCAGGTACTCTATGTCAATGACAATTTAGGTTCTTTCGTCATCTAAGTTTGCTAAGGGATGAATGTTTAGTTAATGCTGAACATAATGATTTTGCAATTCTTTTTCAGAAACAATAAGTAGTGGACTAGAACTCATAAATTATCTGAGTAAATTATAAAAAATTGTACTAATCCAGGTACTTCTAGCATTTCTAATTGTACATTTTGTTAATCTTTTTCCTGCATTAACTTTTCTGTCCTAATATTGATGTACCTCATTGATTTCTTTTAGTTTTGCCTTCTAGAAAGGTGGACTGATTTGTTGAATTATTTCTGAGTGTTTGATTTAGCCATTGCCGTTTTGGCAAAGTTTTTTTTCCTCTTAAAGCCTACTGCTCTGCTTTGTTTTTTGCAGCAATTTCTTCAATCTCCTTAACCGGTGATTCCAACTGCAATTTTGCTTTTAAACTATAAGAAAATTTGAAAGGGAAATTTTTTTGCCTGTTGCTAGGCTACCATAAACAGTGAAAAATTATTTTTTAGATTTATTTATTTACTTATTTTAATGTTAAACAACCATTTAGCGCTAATTTTTGTTCTCTTTTTTACTTTGGTAAGCATATGAACCCATCTCGATTGTTCATGTTAATGTTTCTTAATTGCAGTTGCTGCCTATAAAAATCGCGGTTTTGATATTATTTCATTAAGGACTGTCTCCTGATTCGGTTGCGGTTCAAAGTGGGACAACAATCGAAACCGAAGTATTATTGGAACCTGTTGATACAGCTGCAGATAAGTTTTTAAATAAACAGACATCTGCAGAGGTATTAGAATTGACAGCTTCCAACCCTAGTAATACCGACGACTTAGTAGCGAGCGGGAGTAATAACCAACCAATAATAAAGTAACATTTTTCATTTTAAAACCTTATTCGTTTATTTTGCTGAGCTGGGGCAAGGATGTAATATTATTATTCGTTTTCTCAAATACAAGTGCTTTTTATGTCTTTTTTTTCTTTCCTTAGTTTTTAATCCCTTATTTGGCAAATTTTATTCTTCTCTCTACTTGATTAAGTAATAATGGATGAAAAACCCTTTTCTTGCGGAGTATTTAATGCGTAACTACAGTGTTTTACGAATTCGTAGCAGAGATAATTATCGTCTAAATTTTCCTTTTGTTTTTTCTCACGGGATTTAGACAGCTTTCTTTATAGATGTTCAGATATGATTTTGTAGTTTTTTGCCGTCTTATGCTAGGAGACTGGCGAACAAAATGTATTAGGGTTGTTGACGTCTAAAAAATCTAGTTTGAAATTCACTTTAAACTTTTTACTGTAGGACAAATGCTCAGTAATTCAAATACACTTTACGCATAATTCTCACAGCTGTGCTGGTTATTCTGTTAAGGCTGAACTATTTTTTGACAAAAAGAGGTTGGGAAGTAGTAGTCATAACTTTTGGTTCTCGGGAATGTATCAAAAAATTTACTGATATGGTTACTTCGGTTCAAGACAGTAATTCAGAACTTGAGTAAAAGGAGTTTATGGAAATCTGAGCAGGAATCTTGAAATAACAAAAAGTAGGACTTTGAATGTCAGCAGGAATGTGGTTTTAAAAAATTGCCAATCTCCTTGTGCGATTATAAACTTATGTCCTTCTCTTTTTTTGCAATAATTCTTAATTTAAATTTGAGAACATCCTGAAAGCATGGTTGGTAATATCCTTTTTCAAATTGGTTCCGGAGTATATATATATAGTGCTGCATATTAGAGCGATTAACTTAGTGTTGCTATGCAGTGATAACTGTAAGCAAATATCAATATCTGGTTGTTAAATTCGTGTTTCAAACAATGGAATGGCTATGATCAATACAAGATAGCCTCCCTTTCATCCATTTATGGGGGCTCTTTATCTGGTGGAACAGATAAATGCGTTATTGGTGTTTGTCTTCTCTCCATGTTTTATGCCATTAGCAGCTCTATTTTGCGCGTTAGTTCATGTTTACAGCGTGAAGTTTTGTGTACTTAAGTAAAAATATTCACATTTATAGTGCGCCAAAATTTGAGTGAAAATTGATCTCCTCCCCTGTGGAACTAATCATTCTTAAAATCTTTTGCGGTTGTTACGACAAAGTCGCACTATAAATTTAATATGTCCAGCAGGTTTGGTTTTTACACTGTGAAGGTATAAATTGTTTTGAAGTTCACTTAAAATTACCTTGAGGAGTTTAAAAAAACAGTTATTGTCTTTTTTTTCCCTTGGGAACGTTAGCGCATTTGTGAGTTCCTGTTGTGGATTCGTTCGTCAGGGCAACATCTGAATACTCAGTGAAGACATTTTTGGCGTTAAATTGTTTTGGAAAGTATATGTTATTTTGTTATTCAAAGCAAAAAAATTTTAGTCATTCAAACCTCATTAACCGAATGATCTGTACTCATTAAAATGTTCCTGCTTCTTCGCCGCAGGCTAATAATGGATGCAGCAGTTGACGTTTTGAGAAATTAGAAGAACTTAAAAGTTTTGAACCAGTCAAGTTTTTTATTAGAATGGTTTTTGAACTATTTAGGATTGATTCAAAAACGATAACACGTCCGAAACGGCCGGTAGGAGTTTCTCTTCCAGAAATTAATCAGCCTGGAGTTGCTCCGAGTAAGTTACTTGAGCAGTTTCGAGTTCATGCGCTTTATTTAGACATTTTACAGAAACACCATTTTTGCAAAAATTGTTTGTCATTGTACACGGTAGTACCTGTGGAAAAAGCCCTAGTTTTACTGGTACGGATTCGGAAACGATTCAGTAGACTTCATTATTTCGTCACTTTCTACACCAGTCATTCAATCAAAATTTTTCATAAATATTATATCAACTTCTGGCGCAAGAATTTTTTTTTATATCTATGTATAACTCAGCTTCAAATTTTTCATTGCACCTAAATAGTCTCTATTCATCTGTCTTTTAGAAGTAGAAGTTTTGAATTTTGTAAGCATTAAATTAAATGGATTTACTTGCTTGGTTCATTTCTCAAGTTTACGTTCTAATTAAGTATTAAAAACATTTTAAATTTTTCTAAACTCATTTCACTTATTTTCTCCTTTTTTTTCTGGTGTTGATATTTGCAATAAATACTTTTTATACGTCTAAGATGACGTTTCTAATGGTGTGCAACCTGTAGCCGTAGTTGTGCCTTCTGTTCCGACTCCCGTTCAACGCATTGAGAGCACTCCTGTTCGGAAAGTGGAGCAGATTCCATTAAAAGGACCGAATGATTTAGGTTTGAGAGAGAACATAAAAAAGTAAGTTTGGTGTCTAATTTTTTTCAAAATTTTGATGTATTTCTAGAGCGATCTTCTGAATGACTGGATTCAGTTCTTAAAGTTCTTTCACAACTCGAAATTCATGAGCAGGTCTGACTGAATAAATTTGTATCTGTAGTGCAGCGTTATTTGTTTCTCATGTATCATTCTTAGGATTATTTAATGGTGGTTACCAACTCATTTCTCACTTGTTTAATGTTTAGAAATGAATCGAAGCAACCAGGGCAACGGCCTCGTCAGAAGACGATGGTAGTACAAAGCCAGCTTAGTCTTGAGATAGAAAACGCTTTTAAAGAGGCAAAAGAGGTAGGGTTTTGCGAAAGAAATCTATTTGGCTCTAGCCTAATTTACTTTTCTGCTGAAATATTCTTTTTCTGCTAATTATTATTCATTTTCTATCTGTATAAATTTGTTACTTTTGTTTCTTAGCAACAAGTTGTAAACTCATGGACTACCAACTTTTTTGCTAATTCATTTCTCTATATAAAATATAAGTACTGAACTCTTCTTTATTAAAGAAGTTAGGCGATGAAGCAGTTGCAGAAGTCCAGCGCCGTATCCAAAGTTTGGTTTCCATAAAGGAACGAGAGTGGTTAGCTAAACAGGAAAAGGTAGAATTTTTCAAAGTGTGTTTTTTCATTTCTTATTCGTTACAGTGAACTAGATATTTCGACAGGTTCTCAAAATTTATATTTTATCTTTTTTTGTTAACTGAGAGTGTGACTAAAATGTTACAGTTAATGGAACAACTTGATAGTTGGGAACATAAAGCGGTTGAGCGCAACGTGATAGTTTACAAATATAGTCAGTTAGTTAAAGATTTAGTCGACGGAATAAAGTTGACTTCTGCGAAAAATGGTTAGCTTTTCTTTCTTACACAAGCTTCTTCACCGCGAAGCGAGTGATGAAAATGAATGAAATGAGTTTTCCAGCCCCTAGTCAAACACATCCGGCGAAGGGCTTACTAGGACGACCCGGACCAGAAAGGACGGTTTCTCCTGACGAAATTGCACTTTTAAGAAAAGAAAGGGATCAGCTCGCGGAAGATGTGATTTCTTGGGAGACCAGTTACGACGAGCTCTACAAACGTTACGAAAAGCTAAGACAAGCCAGCATAGAATTTAAGCAGGTATGAACAACTACTGTTTGAAAAACCAAATTTCTTTACATTATTTGAAGTGTTTCGTACTGTTTAAATTCCAGACTGCTGAAGAAACGAAGGCGGCATACGAGAAACTGCAGGAGCAGTATGATGAAGCCAAAAAAAAATTTGAAATTCTGAAGACTGAAGCTGAAAACGAAATCAATCGGTACTTGTCCTTCTTATGCTTTCGACACTTTGATTCTTGTGGGGCCATCGGGCGTTTGTTTTTCGCGAGAATATACTAAAGTAATAAGTGTACTTTTTGCAAATTATAAAAACATCTGTTTTCGTTTTGCGACGCAACCGGAACGTCAGATATCAAACTGCTGCATTCTTAAGGAGGTTTAAGAAGCCTGTTTAGGCATTTGCTAGATCTTTCGTCATAAGCTTTGATGTTCGAAGCTTAGTCTTTTCTGTTTTTGAAATTGATTTCTTCAATGTTTCAGATGTATAACTTCTTTGGTAACCTTATAAACTTGTTTTTTCCGTACAAGAACACTGTTCTGTATAGCTTTTTGAGTGGGTTTTTCCAATGATTCTAAGGACATTCAACTAATTCAACGTAGTGCGTGATCGACAAAATTTAATGAAGTTTTTTTCTCAGTTTTAATGGACGGAACGGGCATTTAACTCAGCTTTACACGTGTTTATTTATCTCATCTAATACTTTATGACAGGCTTTTACGGCTATACGACAGAACCTTGTCTGACATTTTTTTGCTATTTTCAGAGCTAATTTAGAAATGGAAAGGCAGGAAGAATTACGTGAGAGTGATAGCTTAGCTTTGCGCCTGAAGGTAAAACGTTTGGAAGCAAAGAATACGGCGTTAACTACAAGTTTGGATGCTAAGGTTTGCTACAAGTTTCAGATTTTCTGTTTACTGTAAAATTCCGCTGTTTTTTTTTAATGTCTTTTTTACAAAGTAATACAAAATTTCTTCCATTTCATTTGGGTTATTCAGAAGCGTTTTTAAATTTTATCGCAAATTTCTTATGTTTTTATTATTTTTCTCCTTGATGAAATCCCTCTTTGTGTTTTTTAAATGCTCAAAGAGTTAGTCTCTAACAACTTTTGCCATAAAGGCTTTTTGGATCTTTAAATGTTTTATAAGAGCTGGTAATGAAGTCTACAAGAAATTTTTTGTTTTTTTTTTTTTTTGGAAGCAAGCAGCTGAAGCACCTGAAGCAGGAATTGCAACATTCGGAAAAATATGACACTGCTTCTCTTCTCATGTTCTATTCTTTGTATCGTTTACAGTTAGATAAGGTGTCACTGCCTTGTAAATAGGGCAGTCACATAGTTATTCTTATTACTTTTGTTAGGCTTGATCGCTAACTGCTAAATATGACGTTATAGGGTTTTGGAGTCTTAACAGGTATTCACTTTTAATTTTTTTAATATTTACAAATGAATTTTGCATAATCAGTTCCTTTTTTACTGGCAAATTTGAAATTTTTTTGGGTCTAAAGTGCAGAAGTGCTTTCTTGCAGAAGCTTTTGGAAAAATTTCACTCTTGATCCTCCTTGACATAAAAGAATTTCATGTTCTTGGCAGAAATGCGCATTGCTTAGCAGTGCTACTTTATAGAGGATGGACAAAGTTCATTCTTTTTTGAGTGTTATTACTTTAAAAATGCTCTACAGGTGATGTTTGACTTGCATTTAGCCTTGCACATGAGAATATGAATAAATTATTACTCTGGTAATTGCGCATCCTTGGTTGTCTCATTTGAACGAGTCATATATTTTTATAAATGCGTTGTTTTATTGAGTTTTTCACCTTTCTTTTTTTTATCTTATTTTTTTCTTTCTGGCTTTGATTAGTGAATGAACAACTTTTATTGGGGTTTACTAGTTTTTAAAGGGTAGCTTTAGTTGTACAGTTTCATTATTGTATGTTTATTGACTTATTAATATCTCAATTTTGTCAGGGTTTTACAGGGTCTTGACTGCTTGAGATATTACGAGCTACTTAATCCGCGAAATTATTAGTTGAAATAATGATCATTACATGTTTGGCGCCGTGACATAAATGCATTTATCCTAGGGTAGAAAAGTTTTGTGACTACGACATCAATATCATTCGGTTTTGGGTTTTTGTGTTGAAGTGAAATATTAGATAATCAGCCAAGTAGTAGCTTATTGTGAATAACGCTGGAGTATAAGATGGATGACGCAGAAATTGGTATTTTTACAAATTTATAATTATTTGATGCACGTTGTGTTTCGTCTGAGATGGGTAAGACTTTATGTTCCTTCTTTCGAGTTTTCTAGGATTGTTTACCGCAGCCGGTATGTTGTTTGTGCACCGACCAAATATGATACTTTGTGGGGCTTATGTTTTAAATGACTAACTTGTTTAAGGTATTCATTTTGACCTGTGGTTTGATATTGTGAAGAGAATTTGCCGCTTACTCACTAGTCATTACTTTTCTCATTTTTAGTGGTTTGTTTTTTGTAATTTCTAGCGTCTAAAGGGGAAAAAAAAGAGTTTTGGTGAGTTAACTATATAATTGAAATGGAAGAGCATATAAGTGAACTTTTGGATAGTGGCTAGTGAGAAACAGAAAATAGGAAAGTTATTTACGTTCTGCGGTAATTATAAGGTGTTGACTTTTGGGCATAGTTATGAAGTTTCAACAAGGTTATGTTCATTATCTTTCAGCAAGGTAGCCGCTGTAACTGAGGATTTTTAAACATTATAATTACTTTTATATTGAAATGCTGTCTTTTGCAGTCGTTTTCAGAATTGTAGTTGTACGAATAAAATTTTACAAATAAAATGCTTAAGGTCTCTTTCAGAAACGCATAAAGATTATGTCACAATCTGAGTAAATTAACAGTCTTAAGACTATTTTAAAATCGTTTAATGAATTTTTTCTTTTCGAAATTATTACCTTGTTACTTTGTTTTTAGCATTTTCATTACTTAATCATTATTTTTGAATGGAATTAATTACAGGTGAAGGAATTGGCCAATATGGAAATGCTTTTTGAAGATATAGTTCAAAAAGCTGATAGTCAAAATACTCAAAATCTTGAGTAGCATCTTTCTTTGTTGGTTCTCAGAAGGATTGATACAGATTTGCAAGCCAAAGCCTCGCAAAGGTAGTTGTTAGTGTGAAATCTGAAATCCAGAGAGCATGACTAATCGGCCACATTTAAGAAGGATGCTTGAATGCTGCTTTGCTGAATCTTAGTGTAATTGCTGGCTATGATTATTTTTTTATTTCCATTTGGTTGAAAATCAAAATGAGTGATCTTCTGCTTGTACAAGTTTGAGGTTGTTGTGTTTTCCAGGATCGCTGCTTTATTGAATCTGCTTGTAATTTTTCTCGTATTGTATAGTGAAATGAGGCGTTACCAGAAATAATATGTTGTAAAGAACTATTCAAATAGTTTTTAGCTCATTATTTTGTACAGTAAGCTGAGAGTTGTTTAACTTGTGAATTTTTAGGTCATATTTTTCTGTGCACTGTATTAAGTTTGGTACATAGACTTATTGCGGCAACTGCAATTTTGTTTTTTCAAAACTGCGAATAAATCTGGTTTGTCGAAATGTTATGATAGTTATTTTTGTAAATGATATAATATTCATGACATTGTTTTTTTTGTATGTTTTTTAGCTTGAAGTTTAAAATCTACAAATCTTTCTTCTGCAACTTCGTTACCGTTATTGGTTTTGAGACCGAAATATGTTTTTCAATTGACTGGAAGTATGTTTACTGATCATGTTTTTTTTTTTCTTGAAGAATAAACCAGCTGAAGTTTTGTTGTCTTTCGTTAACCTCACTCTATTCTTGCTCTCAGAAGTGAAATTAAAAGATTTTTTTTTTTTTTTTTTTTTT